GAGGCGCTAGGATTAGGAGGGGACGAGGACGAGGACGGGAGGCTGGGAGAAACACCGCCGCGGCCATTTGCACCGCTGCAGCTCGCCGAGCCGCCCGCCGGCCCGCCTGTTTCTGTCCGTCCGTTTGTCCGTCTGTCCTGAACGCTTGGTCTCTCCCTGTCTTGTTTGTCTCTGTGTTTCGTCCTCTTCTCTCGCAAATATGATGAGGCAGACGCCGGCTCCTCGAAAGGTACAGTCCGCCGTCTTGACGCTCGCACACCGGTCGGTCATCTCGTATTGATGTTTATGCCGGCACTTTTTTTTTTTTCCTGCTTGGTCATGCTCACTTTTTTTTTTTTTTTTTGGTCAGGTTCGTTGTATTGTGCGCAGGCAGACCGTTCGGGCTTAAGACGCTGTCACCTCTTATTTGGCGGCGCCGTTCGGTCAGGCTAAATTCCTCTGAATGGTCTCACTGTAATCCAATAAAGCATCCAACGCAACGGGCGAAAGGAGAGCAAGTCGGCGTGATGTGGAAAGTTTCATACATTCGGACATTAGTAACGCCCCCCCCCTCCACAAAAAAAAAAAAAGAGAAGAATGCAAAGCCCCTTTTCTTATTCCTGCTTTCCGTTTGAGCAGCAGCAAGATCCCGGAGCAGCTAAATTGGCACCAGATAACTCTCCACTGAGCTGAATTCAATTTGATTCGCATGGCGCCAATTCTCGACAGAAGTTACGTCATCGTCAGTTGTGCCGCAGAACATGATCCAACTTCCTCCAAAGTACTTCGCATATTTCCGTGACAGCCAGCGCATTTAAATGTGGCCGACGGCGTCCCGCGAACGCAGCCGTTGCCGCCGTCCGACAGCAAACAATAGGATTTTTTTTTTTTTTTTTTTTTCCTACCAAAAATCGGGATCAGCCTCCCCAAAAATCCATTTGGGTCGGGCCTTCCAAAATACGACCGAAATGGAAAGAGCGGTGAAGCAGAGAGTAACCAGTAGCACAAATACAAACAAAAAAGCTAGTTCAGCTTGCCGTGTCATGCGGGGCTTGTCTTTCGGTTCGGCCAACTGGACCGCACAATGGAGTCATTCGGGTCACCGGCGGCGGTGCCAGTCACGTTGTCGTTGGGGATCGTTTGGCACAGCCGATGGATGCTTTGTGACCTTAGCAAAACGTATGCTGTGTTGGAATGCGTCATTCCAACTTTGTTGGATGACTGAGTCGGTGGCTCCGCCGTATTGCGATCGGACATCAGAGGTCGCGGTTCGGTTGGCATTAGGTGCCGCACGGTTCGCTTCGTTTCACTCCCGAGTGGCTCGCCCTCCCGAGCCTTCCTCCCGTTTCTGCTCTTGCAAACTCGTCGGAGAGCAGAGTGCCTTGAATGCTTTGCCTTCAATGACTAACCCTGCCTGTTTGTTTCCTCGCCCTTCCCTTCCCTGCCCTCCTGTTCCTCCTCCTGCGCCTTCTTCCTCCTCAGACCGCGGCCAGAAGGCCCAAGGTGAGCCCGCTTGCAACTTCCTCGGGGCTTCCCGTTCCTACCAACTTTGCTCTCGTGCAGGGAGGGGGGGAGGGGTCAAACGTTTGTGCCCAAGGGCCACATTTGATTTTTAAAACGGAGATTTGATTTTTAAATCGTGTCAACGTTTGTTGACACGATTTGGCAAAAGCTAACTAATATGTGAGGAATATTCTCATGTTGAATTATAATTCACCTTATTGAAGAAATTACATTTGAAAACAGTGATCCCCGCATTTCGTGCACAAGGTAACTCGATGTGTTTCGCAAAATTAAAAGCTGAGAAGCGTTCGCGAACGAGACTTAAATACATTTGAAAGCAAAGTCATGAAATACTGTCGTCGAGAAGATCAAAACTCATCGAGTTGAGGTCACTTGATCTTACTTCCTTGACACTTATTACTACTTTCCTATAAACTGTGCTTTGGCGCCATCTTGTGGCGTCACAAAATAAATAAATAAAAAAGTCGGAGAACCGGGAATAGTTTTACATTTCTGTTTTATTGATGGTTCGGCAAACAAAACGGCAAAAAACAAAAGAATTTGCTAATAGTGAACCACAAAAATGCAAGGAATTATTGACAGCGGGCCAAATTAAAGAACAGAGTGGCCAGTATGTGGCCTCTGGGCCATACTTTGCGCACCGCCGCATTGTTGTGTGCGCGACTGTGGTTTGAAGCTGCAAAGTGGTTCAAAACCTCATTGGACGCATTTGTATCGTGTTCTCGGAAGGGCAATGTTGGTTGATCTGCGCCATTTGCCACTGCTTTTCCTTCAGCAGCCGAGCCGTCCCGTAGGCTCCGGCGGGAAGGGGCCGCCGTCCGGCTCGGCCTCGGGCTCGGCTTCGGCCTCGGCCGGCGAGATGAGCAGCAGCGAGGCCGGCACGCCCGCCCAGACGCCACTGGCCGCCCCGGTCATCCCAAGCCTGCACTCTCCCGGGAACCCGACGCTCCCCAATTGCAGTCAACACTCACTATGTGCAGGGGTTTGGGATCAACCTTGTCGCAAATAGGAAAAATGTGCAAATAATTTATGCTCCGCCCCCAGCCCAAATGTTTTTTTTTGTTTTTTTTTTTTTACAATTCCCTTTATTGAATCAACCCAAAACATTTGACGATTTTGAACTCATCTGACATTCCCCCTTCAAAACAAATGACTTTCAGATTTGATTTTGCAAATCATAAAATTCAAATTAATACTTTCCTATTCGATATTTTTACTTTTTTTTTTTACCAGATGAACAGCTCTTTACTTGTCACCGCTGTGTTACTCTTCATGGTTTTGAGAACCACAACAAAAAAACTCATTTTTTTCGGCATCCCTCATTGACGTCCATGTGAAAAAGTCAACTGACGCCAGACTGTCAACAACAGTCATAGATGAGTGGGGCAAAAAAGAATGATGCAAAGAAAAAGTCAGTTAAATCCTCAACTGTACCAATTCCAGGTTGGGTAATTCGTGTGAATTGGAAAAAGGTTTTTCAGGGTTTTCTCCGATTTGGTGTTTTAAGTTGGCCTCTGCCTCACTATTATTTCAAACCCCCATTCCCCCCCACCCCCGCCTTAGGAGGAAATCGCCATGGCAACACAGGTGCGTTGACACGACGCGCTGGCACGGAAAGTGTTGTTTGTCAGTTTTAACAGCCCGTCGAAGGTGTGACTGACTGCTAAAAATGCACATTTAGTTCGGCATCTGGCAAACTTGACGCGCACGTTTTTCTTCAGCGCCGCTGTGTGAATTGTCTTAACATGCACAAAACGACGACTGCTGCGGGGCCCGAAGCATGGCTGCCCGTACTCGCTCTAAAACGAGCTTTCCCAAATTTTGAAAACTGAATGTATTGTTTGATTGTATGAACTGTCGTGGTAATATTGAAGCCGTTTTTGTGATGTGGAGGAGCGCAATTCAGACTTGGCTGTCAAACGTGCCAAATTGTCAACGCCTGTTTCAGGAGGAGGAGGCTCTGCGCGCTCAGGTGAAGGACCTGGAGGAGAAGCTGGAGACGCTGAAGGTGAAGCGCACCGAGGACAAGTCCAAGCTGAAGGAGCTGGAGAAGCACAAAATCCAGCTGGAGCAGCTGCAGGAGTGGAGGACCAAGATGCAGGAGCAGCAGGCCGAGCTGCAGAAGCAACTCAAGGAGGCCAAACGGGTATGGAGGTGGGGGAGCGGGATGGGCGATGTGACGTGACGTGACGTGACGCGACGTGACGCGACGCGACGCGGCTGCCGGCAGGAGGCCAAGGAAGCCCTGGAGGCCAAGGAGCACTACATGGAGGAGATGTCGGACACGGCCGACGCTATCGAGATGGCCACGCTGGACAAGGAGATGGCCGAGGAGCGCGCCGAGTCCCTGCAGCTGGAGGTGGACTCCCTGAAGGAGAAGGTGGAGGAGCTCACCATGGACCTGGAGATCCTCAAGCACGAGATCGAAGAGAAAGGTGTCGTGACGAAAGCTCCAACATGGGGGAGGGAGGAAAAAAAGAGGGGAAAAAATGGTATTTGTGCGTTCCTGTCAGGTTCTGACGGCGCTGCGTCCAGTTATCACGTCAAACAGCTGGAGGAGCAAAACAGCAGATTGAAGGAAGCTCTGGTCAGGTGCGAATGATGTCACTTCCTGATCTCCTGCCTGCTCTCATCTTAAAAAAAAAAAAAAATCACCCTAATTCTTGAAAGATTTATGATTTTCTTTACTCCTGTGAAAAAAAAAGAACACAACATTATTCTTCTAAGAGTCGACCTTTTCTTTCCGTCTTCTTTGAAAAATCCATATGGCTTTACGAGTTCCTCCCGCCCTTCAGGATGCGAGACCTGTCGGGGTCGGAGAAGCAGGAGCACGTGAAGCTGCAGAAGCAAATGGAGAAGAAGAACGTGGAGCTGGACGCGTTGAGGGGCCACAAGGAGAAGCTGCAAGAAGAAATGTCGGCGGCCGAGAAGACCGTCGACGAGCTGAAAGAGCAGGTCCGACCCGGGACGCCGACACGCGTTAGCCTAAGAGCATCATTGCCAAGTTGTTTTAGGAACGTTTTCCGAAAATAAGTAAACACCCCCCCCCACCCCACCCCCCAAAAAAAAATAATATTTCAACAACCCCCTGGATAATTTTCCTGTTGTTGACCACTGCGTACTGCCAGATTTTTTCTTTTCCCAATATTTTAAAAATCTTTAGAGGTGTTTTTTTGTGTGTATGTGTAAAATTATGATGGGAATGAATTAGATGGGGTTTTTTGTTTTTGTTTTTTTTTTTGTTTTTTTGGATCAGGTGGATGCAGCTTTGGGGGCCGAGGAGATGGTGGAGACCCTGACGGAAAGGAACTTGGATCTGGAGGAGAAAGTCCGGGAGCTGAGGGAGACCGTCACCGACCTGGCGAGTGCTTGCACTTGTCACAATCTGGTTCTGCTTTTAATTTCGGCTGCTTTTAGTCTGAAGTAGCAGTCGCAAAGGTTTTAACCGTTTGGGATTTTTCATTAGTTTTAGTTTTTATTTCATTTAGAAATTTGGCTTATCAATTTCAGGGGTTTTTTTTTGGTCATTGATAGTTTGATCATTCATTTAACTTGAAACATTTTTAAACACATTTTTAATTGACTTAAGTTTTTGTTCATTTACAGCCGCTAGTGGCTCATACAGTTGTCATGAAACCAGCAGAGCCCAACTAAATAAGTTTCAAATCAACTTAAAAAAAGTGTCAAAGAAATAAAAGAGGAAAACTGTCACCCCCCCCAAAGGTTTTGTAATGAACTCGACATTCCACCGGATGGTGGCCAAGGCCTGCCTAAATGAAGCGCCTCCCCCTCATTTCAACATAGCTCCTTGGCCACATAATGGCGGCAAAGCAATAGTGTGAGATTAGACACGGTTTTGGCCTGCCTGAGCACAAAAACAGCAGGTGAGTTAGCTTCCTCTCCAAAAAAATACATTTATCATCGCTGTAGCTATAACGTCATTTTAAATCGTTTTCTAAGCATTGCCGTTTCATTTTTTTTTTCCTTGTTCCATTGGGCAAAAATGTTCCCAGAGAGTCCATTTTTTCATATTTTGTCAACTCTCACAACGCCCGCAGGAGGCCATCAACGAAATGAACGACGAGCTCCAGGAGAACGCCCGCGAGACGGAGCTGGAGCTGAGGGAGATGCTGGACCTGAGCGGCACGCGAGTGCGAGAGGCCGACAAGCGGGTGGAGGCCGCGCAGGAGACGGTGGCCGACTACCAGCAGACCATCAACAAGTACCGCCAGCTCACCGCTCACCTGCAGGTAGCGTCCGCGTACTTCCCACTTTGCGCGACATTGAGACTCGGGCAGATGCCGCCGAGTCCTGATTCGGTCTTTTTGCTGACAGGAAGTCAACCGAGAGCTGACCAGCCAGCAGGAAGCCTCCGCCGAGCTCCAGCAGCAGCCGCCCGCCGAGATGTTCGACTTCAAGATCAAGTTTGCCGAGACCAAGGCCCACGCTAAGGTCGCTATGGCAACCTGCCAAGTCAACGTTGACGTTTGTTCCCAAGTTGAAAACTCTTTCACCGCCACCGACGACACGAGATGCCGAGCGAGCCTCGTAACTGGGAGGGATGGCGACAAAGGAGTCACCCTTTTTTGAAAGCTACTTTTCATTTGTGAAATTTCACCTTTTTGGGCCAAGAGGCAACTTTCCTCTCCATCTGTGCTTTGATCGAGGCCGTTATCGATCCAATCCGCGAAATCTCGTTCACTCCAAGACGTTCTGTGCCGTCATCGTACCTCATGCGAGGTTTCACAGTATATACAGTAGGACTTTAAAAAAAAAATCAAATATTTGTAAAGATTTTTAATTGCGTGTTTATCAGTGTTTTCAACAGATATTTTTTTTTAGGGTTTAATAGTTATTTTTTTTCCCCGAAGCATTTCAATAGATATCAAATGCAAATTTTGTCTCTTCTTAAATCCCCGCAAATTGTGGAGGTCGACTGTACAGTACACAAGCAAGTTCAAAAGATTGGATGGATAGATGATTGTCTTTTCTTTTCCTCCCCCCCAAACAGCTTCAAAACCGTGATGGTGTCAAGCCTGAATCCGATACAATCTGCTTGAGTGCAATAAATCATCTCATATTGTGTCCCCGATGTTGCGACAGTGCGAGACGACACAACGTAACCGAGTTCTAATTGTTTTGTGTGTTTTCCGTCGATGTTGCGTGCAGGCCATGGAGATGGAGCTGCGCAAGATGGAGGTGACGCAGGCCAACAGGCACGTTTCCCTGCTCACTTCGTTCATGCCCGAGTCCTTCCTGCGCCGCGGCGGCGACCACGACTGCATCCTGGTGCTGCTGCTCATCCCCAGACTCGTCTGCAAGGTCCGCCCCGCCCGCTCGCTCGCAACTTGATTTGGAGAGTACTTCAAAAAAAAAAATAAAGCCGAGTGTGGCCTATTTTCATGCTAAATTGAAAGGACATGCATGTTTTGATATTTCTAACATCATTCCAAATTTATTTGCATAATGTTTTTAAAAATAACTTTATCCCCCTCATAATGTATGTAAATGAATCTTTTCATTCCAATGTATTCTTAGCCGTTTTTTTTTCTTTGCACTTTTAGTTTGTTCTCCTATTTTATAATGAATTTATTCCGTTAACATGAAGATTTTTCCATTTTCCCATTTCATTTTGTTAACATTTCATCGTATATTGAACAAATTTTTTCATGTAGTTTTCATATTTTCATGCTCATGTAATAGACATTTTCTTTCCAATTTTCATCACACTACAACTTATTTCCACGTAGAATAAAAAAAAAAAATTCAAATCAATTCTTTGTGTGTGTGTGTGTGTGTGTGTGTGTGTGTGTGTGT